ATAGCAGATAGGACATTGTGAAAACGACGCTTTGTAGATAGGATATTTTGAAAACGACGCTCCGTAGATAGAATATTGTTGTTAGGACGCGTCGACCTAGCCTAAGGATGTTTTGTCTCTTCAGTCATCTACGTTGCAAGTGCTTGATCCTGATGTGGTTTCAGTTTGCTTAATGCGATTTGGTTTTGTTTTCTTCACCACAACTAAGTAACACTTTGTATTGTATTGAGCATCATAAGAAAACGTCTTAAAAGAAAGAATACAACACCGACTGTTCCCCGAGTATCAACTCTAAACAATATCACCATGGGCTAATAAGTGCAATATTTAAACAGTTACCAAGTTTATTTGATATCATTTGATGAGGATTATTTCGAGTTTATGAAAATACTGTTCCTTTTACCTGCAACGTGTCTTATTTTACTGTTCAGATTGTACTTCAATGCAGAACCTTACAGTAAAGGTGCCAGACTGTTACTGGACAACACCGTTACGGTATTGATCATTGCTTTTAAAAACTAGATTGACGGTGGCCACTCCATATTTTGTGACGGTGAGCTGAGTGATATCCGGTTGGGTATCCAGACCCGAAGAGACGCAGAATGGTTCCCTTTTGTATGAGACCCTGTGAGAAACTTGATAGACCAAGTGAAGTCAGGCCGGATCCCGAACTAGTTGCACGGAATCTAGTATACTAAATGGGATCCAGGGACATGTGAGTCCCAGACGGATATGATAGCCGATTCGACGTCGAATCCACCTCGAACTGATGGATTTTCATTTCTATCTGGGAGTGGATCTCTAAGAGAGCCTCTGGATCCACTACTACTTAACTGGATCCTGTAAAATCTTACTTGTTTTTCGGGAATGTGTTAGTTTATCTCAACCCTCGTGACAAACTGCTTGTCTCAATACTTTTCGATACAAGACAAATCAGTTTAAAAATGTACACACTATTTACTGCATACAGCATAGCGTGTACATAATGCTTACTGAGATCGCTGGCGGTTTGTGTTGGCGATCGTATTCGTACTGTGCACACAATTTGCAGCTACTTCTCTTTCCTAGGCGAACGTCTTCTTCCGCTCTAAGTTTCAAAAGGCCGATGACCCGCGCCCTGACATCCAGATTCCCCTTGGCGGCTCTCAGTACCTAACCACAACAGGCGTCAAAGGATGTGCCTCACCCGAGGCAGCTGGCACCTACTTCAATCAACTTGGTTTTAATGCCATAAATCTCCACCCGAAAAGTCGCGGGCACGTAAGTGGGTTCGACGCGGCCGTAAAGCAATATCCTATCTGTTTCGCTGCTACAAAAAACTAACCTATCTGTTTCGCTATACGCCTATACCGCATACACGAAGAAAACGCGAAAAGTCGGACTGGACTTTGACACAGGTTGCACATTTTCAGATACTACTTTGCATCCACTAGTGTATTTCGCTACTGCACAATCGGAACCTAAGGAAGAAGAGCATTAAGTCACTGATCTGTTTCATGGTTTCCTCCTGATTGGCCAAAGATGGCGTGGCTGGGTGGTCAGCCAATGAGCGCGCAGACTGAAACAGATCGAGCAGTCATGCTTTTCTTCTTTACGTTCCGGTTGGCTTGCAGTGGACTACCCTGTACAGATTTGCTCAACGATGCCTTCTAACGACAAAGTCCGATGTGTTGCGCTCCCGTTACACAAAGTTCGATCTGTTTCGCTCCCGTTACACTAAGTTCGATCTGTTCCGCTCCCGTTACACAAAGTGCGATCTGCTTTTGGCCGCTCTCGGGAGAGTTTTGTTGTTGTGGCATTCAATTTTTTCTTTAGAGTATGTTGTTCTTCAATCTTTTAGCAACAGACAGCAGCTTTTACTTTTTTTCTACCGGCAATATTAGCGAAAATATAAACATAATAAGACCTTGATGCAGAGCGCGACGGAAAGCAGATCGAACTTTGTGTAACGGAAGCGGAACAGATCGAACTTTGTGTAACGGGAGCGCAACACATCGGACTTTGTGTAACGGGAGCGAAACAGATCGAACTTTGTGTAATGAGCGGTTGCAGTGGCCACTCCCACAGCCACGCGGATCTTATATGGAGGCCGGCGCGGCTTTGAGAGCTACTCTCCACTTCGGTGCGTGGGCGGCCGAACGATAAAGCCACAGTGCTGTGTGTGTAAATTTAGCCGCTAAAACAGCCATCAGGAAAAAATCAAAATCCACGCCAGCAGTGTATGGCGGTGAGCAGTGGGGCCAGGCCAAATAGGGTATTTCGGATAAGGGGAAGCGGGGCGGCGGAAACGAACTGCCCAGTCCACCGCTGGTTGTATCTCTGCCGCTGATGCGCAGGGGAGAGGGGGCAGTAGCGGGGTGGCGCAGCGTCTACTGCGCATGCGCAGTTCGCAGGCTGAGATGGCTCCGGCAGTTGGTCGGCTGTTTCGCATCCAGTGCTTCGCTTACCCGAAATGCCCTATTGAGACGAGATGGAGCTCAGCGCAGCTTTGAGAGGCGTGGCTGTGCGGTGCGAATGGTAACTGTAGGACATAGGGTATTTCATGTGACGCAAAGCGGATTCATAAAACAACAATAGTTCTTCCTCAATTCTTTCCTCCCTTGCTCTGATTGGCTGACGCCGACGAAGTTAATGAACTGGCCAGAGGGCGGTCGACCCATAGTGTTGGGTCCGAGAACTTCGTCTGCATCGGCCAATGAGCGCCGAGGAAAGAGTTCAGGAACAACTCTTGTTCTTCTTTGGATCCGGTTTGCGTCTGGTGAAATACCCTATTGCCCTTTCTTCTTTAGATTGTGTCAATCTTAATGGCTTTTACAGATTCTGCTCAACAAGGCAAATCCGTACGGCATGCCTCTCATTTACCATAATGTATTTGGCGACGAGTCGGATCTGAAACCAATCTACGAGGCCTTCCGACTAGCGGTGAAACTCAACTCAACGAAGGTCAGAAGTAATAATGTATGACTGTTTACTTGAAACAGGCGCGTCGATGCGTAACATAACTGTGTTTCGTGAGATCTCAAGGCCTGTTACGTGAGACGTAGTCTCGCGCACATCTATCTAGTAACAACAGCGTCATTTTGGACTGCTCGGTACCCATCTCGGAAGTCGTACCTGCTACCTACAGCTGTTTAGCCTGGTCATATAAAGCATTTCGGTAAAGCTGAAATGCAGAAGAATGCAGGGAACAAGAAAACGGAAGTTCCATCTAAAAGCATAGTGATATCCGTTTTCTTCCTCCTCGCATTCTTCAGCATTTTGGATTTACCGGAATGCTTTATTGTTAAATCTGATACGGCTTATATCTATATCCTCAAAGGTGTTCCGCGACAACAACATCACTTTGAGCTACAATAAGCCCAAGCAGTGCACTCAGCTCACCTTTAACAGCGACGAGTTTTGGAAGTGTACCTTCCAGGGCGCAGGATCCGCCAACCAGCACCCCACGTCTACGTGCAGCATGGGACCTGACAGCGACAAGCTCGCCGTCGTCACACCACGTTTGGCGGTACGTCTAGGGACTTGGTAGACGGACGTAAAAGTCACTCCCGAAGAGAGTGTGCGAGTTAGTACATACATGGAACACGTTTCACAACATCTTATACCCAAAAATATGGATTCTTAGTCATTAAACTTTGAGAGGGAGAGAGAGAGAGATTCGCATCATTTGAGTGCTTCCTCAATCCGGCCATGAGAGAAGTTTTTTGCACTCATTTCTGCCTCAATTTGAACATTTATATGCATTACTTGAGTGCGAAAATGTGCTTTTTGCTTACAAATTCGTCCAAAACGGAACGAAGATATATGTTAGCGCGAACATTTGCACAACTACATATTCATCTAGCGCGAAGGAAGATTAGTCGGCATCATGTCTCCTGTGGTTTCCCTGTTTTCAGGTGCGCGGCGTCGAGGGGATCCGTGTCATGGATGCATCCGTCATGCCTGGCACAACGAGCGGCAATACCAACGCCGTCTGCGTCATGATTGGCGAGGTCGGGTCGGATTTCATCAAGCAAGACTACAACGTCAAAACTGGCTAAACCAACACAGAAAGGCGTGCATTGCCTCCTAGTGCAGCGCCGCTTAATCAGATACGCTGTACCCACCTAACCATTTCGAACATTTTGCATTCTGGAAACCAGTCCAGTCCCGACTGAAACAAAACGGCGTTTCCGATGATAAAGAGCCGTGGTGATCTGATTTGAGGGGCCGCTCTCTGCTATTTAATAAACGAAATACAATCTGCCAAACAAAGCATTACCAAATGTGATTTTTTGATTGAGCGGGTGTGCAGACTAACAAGGGAACCTTTTCAGGTGTAAATCTCCGATTTCGTTGGAACTCCGAAAATTTAAACGTTATTATACTAGAAGTCGGATGGCACTTGAAATTTTTCCTGAACCTCACAGTTAATAGTGGTTTACTTGAGCCTTACAGTGTTTTTTGCCTCAAATATCCCTTCAACGCCTTAACGGTACAAAATAGAGAAAAACGGACAAAATTTTAGCTTCTACTTTGGGTGCTACTTTGACGAGTTACACCTTGGAACAAAGCTTTACATTTCTAAAAAAAATCATTTTTGAAAGCCTTGTAAGACGGCAGAAACAGTAAAATTTGAAAACAGTATACAAATATTATGCAATAACAGTCGTACTAGACCACTTTTTAACCTTTTGAACTTCTGTTCGACCATAGAACGCTTTTTCAGGCTGACAGAACTGTTGCGAATGCCTCATAAATATTATGTGAGGAAAACATGGGTTGCCGACCTATGCTAATAGAGGTTTAAAATTGTCACACGACCAAGCGCAAGTCAAAACTCACCACGCAGAAGAACAATGGCAAGGTTTAAGTTGAAAAGCGCTCGTTAAAACCACCAGCACCAGCCTCCAAAATCAGAGTTACAACATCAAGAACTCACTGTACTTGACTAACCGTCCCAATGACGTGGCCACCAGCCACCAACCGCGTTGTGTCGCGGCGCGGTTTTAGCAGGGGAGTCGTGCGTCGTGGATGTGCTAGCTGGGCAACCCAGAGCTCATCGTCGCCTGTCAGGCGAACCTAAAGATGTCGCGCGCACTTCCCTCTGCCCCGTGGCAGAGCCCGTCGACGGCGTGCCGCAGCTGCCCCCCCCCCCCTACCTCTTTTCACTGCGCGTGTTCGGATGTCGTGGACGTGCCGTCGGGGGCACGGCGGCCTTTCCCGTTTAGAAATGAGAAGTTCCGGAATGTGTCCCCCATCGGACTCAGTCCGAAATCCGTCTTTCGGACGAGCCCGAAAAGACGGTAAAATAAGCCACTTTTCGGAACATGTCCGATGCTCTGCACTAGTGGGACATCGGACTCGTTTCGGACTCGGACTAAAGGGAGGCCCGAGAAAAGGCAGAGAAGACGAGTATTCGAATCCCTGCTCGTCGGACTTGTCCTTTCCTTTCCGACGCTCTAACCAACTTTTTTTTTTTTTTAAACACTTTTATTCGGTCAAAAATACAACAGGGAAAAATTTACATAACATTTCAATTATGATGTTAGATGTTGTAAAAATATTAGTGGTATTAAAGTTAAAGAACTTTCAAAAAACCCTGTCATACATTGTGCAGTATAAGATCCGTGGTGAAAATCCTACGCGAGCGCTGGCCTCAGCGTCGCTACTCCCCGCCCTTTTTCCGCCTGTGCGTTGCACACTCAGCAGTTGTCTGCTACTGGCGATACTCCGTGCCTTCTGTTCTTTTACTCCTCTCTCCGTGGTGTATACCCCTTGCTACCCGCTTCTGTACTCTGTGTTCCCCCCTTCTTTTCTTCCAACGTGTTTTCAGTTTTATTTACAGATTTCTCCTTCTCTCTTTAGGTTATGAGCAAATACAACAATCCAAATTAATTTCAAAAACAAAAATACAAATCAAATTTCAAGCTTCGTCATCAATATCTCTTCAACGCCGGTTTCTTCTTACTCTGTCTTGTCTGAACCCCGCCCCCTTCTGGACTACCTGATGCGCCTCTCTTCTTCTTGTCCCCATTCTTGCCCGCGTTCTTGAGTACTTCCGAGAAGTCTAGCAGACTTTGGCCAAACTCTTTGGTGCCGTCCGCCCCCTCCAGAACTCTTGCCTCTCCGCCTGCTGTCGTCTGCTCACCCGCCGCTGGTTGTTGATCTTGTTGTTGGCTGGTGCGGCCGCGCGGCGAGGTGGCGGCTGCTGGCGGCGCGTCGGCTGCTGGCAGCCCGACGGCAGCTGATGTTGTTGTTGGCGGTGGCTCGCTGGAAGCGCGCGTGACGGCCACCTCCTCCTCCTCCTCCCCCTCGTCTCCACCGGCCGGCTCGTCATCTGCTGGCGAGGCTGCGTCCGCTGCCTCTCCCGCCCCGGTCGCAAAGCGCTCGGGACATTTCGCACGCAGATGGTCGGGGGAATCGCAGATGCGGCAAGTTCTTGGCTGGCCGGCGTACTCAACCACTGCCTCGCACCCCCCAACTACAATGTAGGAGGGCACATGTGCACTCAACGCCATGGCCAATCGCCTCGTCCCGTTCTTGATGCCCTTCAGAGGCCCGCTCTTGAAACGGTCCCAGGTTATCTCCTCCAAACATTCTCCGTACTCACTCATGTCGCCGAGAAGAGTAGCGTCGCTAACTTCCGGCGGCAGATTCCTCACTTTCACGTAGCTCACTGGTGCCCCGTTGAGTGTCAAAAACACACACTGCTCGCTGCCAAACTTGCGTCCCGGTGTCTTCAGAATCCCTCTAATCTTCGCTCGCATCTTCGAATTGTCCTCTAGCTTCACGTGCACAGCTTTCCCGCCATACTCTTCCTGGATAACTTCAATTTCTTCTAATCCTATCTTCAAATACTTCAGAAAGTCCACTAGATCTTCCGTCGACGGCTTCGCCTCGGTGAAGGTCATGGTGATCGTACTCGTCCTCATCTTCAGGCCCTCGGCTCACAACACACAGACACAAAAACAACAATCACTGCCACACACTCTCACTGCTGGTCCGTCAGGTGGACCCGACCGCACGTCCGCTCGCCTCGGCTGATAGGCGTTTGTAACTGAGCCATGCTGACCTCTTGGAGACGATGCCATCGGGCCGCCTCTTCAACGACTCGCTCTATAGACAAAGCGTCGTGCTCTAGAGGGCGAACGAAATGACGTACACGAATGCGGTTTTCGACAATAATGTAGGCAATAAGGGACGCTCTACGATGTCTACTTGACTACAATACAATGAAACAAAATTTATCTCACTACAAAAATAATGAAACGAACTTCAAACTACATAATATAATGCAAGACTATGTCATTAGATTTTTGATTGTAAATGAAGAGTGCGAGCTGATGCAGAAATGTAAATGCAGACACCGATATTAAATTCAGTCTTCAATCACAAGTTATTGACCAAATTTAACTTTGACAGGGGACTTAAACAAAATTTGGCTTCGAAGAACGTCTTGGGAATAGTCGAATTAGAGGACCCAACTGGGTCTGTTAGTGGACGCAATTCGGACTCGTCCGTACCTCATGACCGTACCAGGACTGTTATCGGGTTTAGTCCGATGCGCATCGGACTAAAATCGGGCGAGGCAGGGATTGGAACACCGTCCGGACAAGCCCGATGTTGGTCGGTCCGATGGAGGGCTGAAACCGGGCTAGTCCGAACGGCGCACGGACTAACCGCGGAACAGTCCGAGGCTCGACGGACTGTTTCGGAACAAAAGGGGAACAAGATACGGAACTTTTCATTTTTAAACGGGTTGATAGGCTGCATACTGTTGTGATCTCCTACTGCAACCATGCCCGCTCCCAGCCCTGGCCTTTTCTTTCCCCTTTCTCACGCACCCGATGTAGCGGGAGCGGGGCGGCGTAGCAGACTGACGCGCTGGCTGGAGCGCTACCAGCCATTGCCTACGTCACGAAAGTGCACCTCGGAAGCTGTCGCCAGCCAGCAGGCATCAGTCCTCGCCTGTCATCGATGTGTGCTACAGTTCGTCTTCTCGTGTCGTCTGCTTTTGGTAATGTGCGCTCGTGCGTGCGCTCACCATGGATCGTGCTGTGTATGCTCTTCGACTGCTACGAAACCGCCGGGTACTCCGTGATTGTTTACGTATGCATCTGGGGCTGCCAGTGCAATTGCATCGCCGAGGCGTTGCTCGACGCCGTTTGATGCTTGGTGAGTGGTATTATTGTTTTCACTCCGGTTCGGGTCGTGCTTGCAACGGACCGTTTGAAATGTATTTTGTGTCGAGTAGGTGAGAATTTTCGTAATGAGGATCCACTTCGACGAGTGCTGATTATGCGTCGCCTTGTCCTCCAGGAGCGGCTGAGGGAGGCCATCCTTCTGAACCTGAACAAAGGGGCCGAACGAACGTCGATGGGTAGGACCCTACGGCCGTTGTTCTCCATGCGACGGAAATGGGGCGCGTGGTTCACCCTGATATCCTTCATGCGTGAGAATGATCCGGAGAAGTTCCGCAATTACTTGCGCATGACCCCGCGTATGTTTGCTGAGCTCTTGCACCTGGTTAACAGACCGGGCAGTAGAGGCCACTCATCACCCTAACAGGTACAAGACATCCCGGAAAGTCCCGCTTGGCCCCACACCCCACCCCGCACACGTGCCGTTCTGCTGGCCGGGAGCATACTACTATGGGACGAATGGGGCGAAAGGAGTTACCCCGAACCAGGCCTAGCTACCTACTCAGGAGGGTGAGTACATATTTCCCAAACTGCCGGTCGTGCTTAAGATGTTTTTGACGCCTCCCCAGCTAGAGTACTTCTAAACAAAGATATTGATATTAAGCGTAATACGTATACATGCATATAATGGCCGGTGTGCACGTGTAGTATACTGCTTTTGTCATGTGAACCTAGCAGCAGGAGACGATTTATTCGTTTGTGGTAGGAATTCCAAACGGTGGATGAAATGTAGCATAACTGTAGCTGGACTGTAGTTCAACTGCGAGTTGTCGGAGCGGAGCGCTTAGCATGTCATTGAGTTACTGCGAGACCAGAGCCATATGGTGTCGCAGTGGCTCAGTGGGGAGCAGACGCAGGCCTCACCGACGACGAAGCTGCTGTTTCGGAGGTGGAGGCGGAGGAGGGAGAGGAGGAGACCGTGCCAGTGGGCCAGCGCCGCAGACGACATCAGCCGACGTCACCCTGCCTGCAGCCGACGCGCCGCAAGCAAACGATCCCCCGCCGTGCGACACCAGGCCGGCAAAACAACAAGAACAACCACCGGTGAGGAAGCAGACGACGAAGGCAGGCGGCGAGCGAAG